CACAAAGAAACTGTTGTACAGAAAATAAAGGGGCAACACTTTTTTCATCAGGTGGCTGTATATATTAATATTTATTATCTATCCATGTGTTTCTGAATTGTAAAAGTTTTCAGTTTGATATAAATATATATAAATATCTAGAATTACCTATGCATTATTTTCTCTTTTGTACACTTTTATTTATAATTAGATAAAAAATTCTGTGGTCAGGCGGAAGCAGACCAGACAAACCAAACAAAAATACTCTCAGCCTCATCCAATGTCAGCCCAAGAAAACTACAATTGTTTTTACACATCTTAATATACATGAATAACTCGCAAGAAATGTAGCATCAATGAAATTCTAGAAATATTTGGTATACTACAGCATTTGGATGGTGTTTTCTAACATCCCAGTTAGGCCCAATTGAAATTCATACTACTCGGAAAACAAATGATTTACAGAACAATATTTTATACAATAATTACATGAGCAAACTTTACTGATGTGGGTAGAAAGGCACTTTAAAGATAACAAAAACAAACAAATGTTTTAATGCTATATAGTTAGGCTATTCTGTCTTATTTTGTTTATATATTTTATAAAGACTGGAGGTATCAAATTAGCATTCTTACACTTCATATTACATAATGAACAATTACAAGTTCTACCCAGTGTCTAATAAATTTTGATTCTTCTTTAAAAGTTAGCAACATTTATATTTTAAACATATACACACATATCTCACTAAAGCCTATTCAGTGGTTTATGAAGAACTAGAAGTATTATTGAAACAAAACTAATCAACCTGCTAGAGGAATCTCACTGGCATACATCTTCCACTAGGAAATCATGCAAATAAGAAATCACCAGCAGAGGGGCTTAAAAACAGGATTTAACACTGAAATTTAAATAACGAGAAGCTATTCTAAAGGACTGTAACAAACACTAACAACTGATATTCATGATAAAGCGTAACAAGGAAACTATTAAGACAGTAGTTACGTGCAGTTCAGTGTTCTTTTTGAACATAATAACGAGATTCAGTTATCTTCATTACTAAAGTAACAACCAGATAATATTACAGCAGTAGTAATAATTCACAAATGCCAGTCCTAATAGCTGATTAACTGAAAAACTATATAAATCAGTAAGGACAAAAAAACGTGTTGAACCAACGAAAAACCTCCAAGTTAAGTACGATTGAATAATAGTTCAACTTTTATCTTCATTATTGTATTCAAGGATGTTTAAAAACTTTTCAGTGACTACATTATAGATAAATAGTTTATGATTTAAATAATTCATAGACATTTGTTTTTCATCCAAATGTTACTCGGAGGTGGACCACACATATATCGGCTTTTATCACCTCACCGAGCGTATAAAGTTGTGTAATACCAAGTGTCAAAATAAAAAAAACACACGTATGGCTTAGAGTCAATTAAACAGATTCACAAACTTCATTACGTCTATCCGAATAATATTTAAAAGAATAATTTTACTTTCACAATAAGAGAATCCCAATGTACGGTCTTTGGATCAATTATTTAAGTAGAGCAATATGTATATATATAGAACGTTGTTCATTTAACATTCATAAATGTAACAAACTTCACGTTATATCAAGAATGTTTTTCCATTTTATTATACACAGAAGAACTCAAACTTCCAAAATTAAACTCTTGTAAAGTTTTTAGATTTTCTAAATTGTAATATTAAAGTTTCAAAACCTTGATACTCCAATAACTATACTACATTCACTATCAATTTTAACTGCTCGGTTTAGGAAATAATACAAGGTGTTCAGTTTTTATTTTTAGAACTGATGTGGAAAATTTAGAAATGGAAACCAATCATCATCATGATATGAACAAGTATTATGAACTGAAAAACACAAACTAAACCAACAAGAGTTATAGTGATTTTCATGAATATTCAGCAAAGTTAACATTATAGCAAGCACACAAGCATTATTTTCTTTTATACACACACACACATACAAAATTGATAGAACAGAATCTTAAAAGAAAAATTTTGTCTGTCACAAATTTGTATTTATGGCAAATCTATCTTTGACTGTCCCTAACTTTGAACTACTGACCAAACAGAAGGTAGCCAGTCAGCAGCTAAGGAATTGACAATCACTCTTATAATACACCCACAGCTTAAAGTGCAGGGAATACTTTTGTGATATTGCATGGATTCAAACCCGGTTCACCAGCTCCATCCTCATCAAGCATATTGCTGTGGATATATTTGTCAAAACAGTAAGATAATATTTAAGCTACCAGGATTACGGTGTGTTTCTATGCATTTAGTTACAGCTGGAACTGTTACTATGTAAACATTTTATAATTATTGAAATCATGTTGGCAATTATTTAAAATACTACAGTATTATTCACAGTAAGAAAAAATAATCAAATCTTGTTTTTAAATGTCATTAAAGATTCTCAAGTTATAGAGGTATAGTGCTTTCGAAATCGTTTCTTAGCCGGATTTCCCACAAGTGCATAATTTCATTAAAAATCAGTGTTATACCACAAAATAATTAGATTTAACTTTTCAAAGATCGAGAACTTACTTAATTTAAGAAGGTGTGATAGCCTTCGCATTACTTTTAAAACTAAGGATGGTCTCAACATTCTATTAAAACTCGGGTTTTTGGATGTACCGCTTAATATTATTTCTTTAAACAAAATTTCATCAGCAAATTGCACACACAACTATTAGATTAAGAGCAATCACACGGACAATTAAATAAATCGTTCATTTCAAATATTCTTAATCAATTCAACTCTACGTCCTATCACTACTGTTTACAAGTAGTTCAAACACATTCTGGTACAAATCATCTACAAATATTATAAAAATACCCCAAAAAATATCTGAAGTACATATGTTGTAAAGTAGACCACAAAAACTTTAATCAAATGTTGTACAAGATTTAATAGGATTACTTATACCAAGTGGTTTTTACATTATCACTCCAATTTTTGGTTCTTACCATAACGGACAGCAATGTAACAAAAAAAAATTGTAGCATTGAGTGAGTAGGAGGATAATTTATATGAGAAGTTAGGTACAGTAGTTCTACACAGACATGAACTGAAGCTTTATATAAAACAATACTTTTTAAACCACTTCAATACTTTATGTTTAACGTGGCACCACGGTCACTTCAAAGCAAAAATTCTATCTAGTATTCATATTGAAGGTTATATATATTTGCCAAACAAATACTACAGATAAAATTCTTATCAGTTAAAAAAACCGTACCTTTTGATGATAAATAACTTTCTGACAGAAAAAACACACACACACATACAAGAAAATCTTAACCATTAATTCATCAATTAAACTGTAAATAAACAGTAGAGGTATACACCCGAGACTCATCTCAAGTGCTTTCGGTAAAACTATGAAAAGATTATTACTCATTGTGATTTTTTTGTTGGTATAAAAAAAAAAAAGTATTTTATTATAAACAGACTTTTACTTTTTTTAATACATTTTATTTTGAAACCTTTTACATCAATTAAATAAATTAAACTTCACACTTGCGATGCTAATAGATGAAGAGGCAAGTTTTTTTTTTAATGTTTTTCTTAAAAATTGGTCATTCTTAGCTAAGTTATCAAATTCTACTCCTTGTAGCTAGAGTAATAATTAATATTTTATTTCTAACTTACTCCCACAACCACCCTAAACAATAAATATAACGTCACTTAGCTAAAACATGACATTGATAATTTTAGTTAGTTTGGTGTGATACCTACTTCACATACTAGCATTAATAAAAAAACAGTTTTAATAAAATAAATAAAGATCACAACATCAAAATAAATACACAATTATGAACATTTTTAAATAATCAGGCCAATCTATGGCCTCTAAAATGTCTCGATGATGATGTGGAAAATGTCCACATTATATGTTCATAATTGTCTATACATTTTGACATTGCGTTATTTATTATTTTAATGTTATACACAAGTGCCAATAAAATGACATCTACAGTTTTACTAACCCAAACTGCTTAGTATTTGCACTTCAACATTTCTTTGTGTCTTCTAGAAAGGGACAGGACATAAATTCGATCTGGTCGCGTATCATCTAATGTTCAAAAAACACGATTAATTAATATTATACTACAATTAAGTAGTAGCTCATGACTGTGGTGCACGTTTGTGATGTATGACCTTATGATCTATCCAATCCAAAAATACCCAAATCTCATTGGATACCAGGAGATGGGTATCCAAAATCTGATATGCGACCACAACTACTATTTATCTCGTCCGTACCTAGAATACTTGCATAACTATAATTTAGCTTAATAATTAGCAAGTCAAAAATGTTTAAACTTGATAGGTAAGAACTTGTAGTTTTCATCAAGAGTTCTTACCAATTATCGGATTTCCTATTGTCGCGTGCTATGATTAAATGCTCCAGTAGTTCTTTTAAAAAAATCTACTATTACTAAAATTAATTTACTGAATACTTCAAAACACAGAAAACCAATATATTCATATTTCTTTAGATGTCCTTTTACATTTATAATCAAACTTACGCAAAATTCAAATAAGAAAATGCAATCTGAAGAACTCGTGATTAAAGATGAAAACACAAGACAGACATGTGTTACTTTTCTACTTAATACTACATCTTACAAACTAAAAAATAAAACCAACTTAAAGCCATTATGTTAAATCAAGAAGAAAATTATGTCTATGCTGATTACAAGTCTTTATTTTACAGTACGTTATGTTTTTATTAGACGCATGTCTTTCAGAAACTGGCTGAAAAACTATATTTTTCTCACGATATAATGATTGAATTTATCAACCAGAACTTTCAATAGACTTGGAAAAACAAGGGTGCTTGCCAGCACATATAAATTATAAATATTAATTGTTTCACATGAAAGGGTTGTTGGCTGGTGGCAATGGTGAGGACGCTGTAAATCCATCTAGTGGAAGGAGAGGGGCAGGAAGGGGTGGACCTGTTACAGATGTTGGCTCTGAAGTGAAGCCTATATGCTGGGTTCTCAACTGGTTTATGGTCGGCGGTGGAGCTCTGACAGTCTCAAAGGGGTTATTAATGGCTTGTGTAGCAAATGGATTTGTAACAGTGCTTGAAGCTAAAGTAGAAACAACAAACAAACAGCAAATTAAAATATATAAAACTTCACAAATCTTATATTTAAATATCTTAAAGTGCTTCACCTGCAAAAAAACATCTAGCAGGATAAATAAAAACTTATCTTCTCCAGCTGATTTGGAACAGTTTGAAAAAGATTCATTTGAATTAATTAATTCACGAAACGTTGAACTGCTGAGAGGAAAATTACCTTAGAAGCTACACAAGTTAAACTTCTGAGCCGACATCATCTCAAGAAACTTCTTGCAACATCGAGAAAAAAGAAATTATATAAATTATTTGTGATATTTTTTTTTCCTAGAGAAACTTTTCCACTAACCAACCCAAGCTTAGTGTTTTCTCTAATAACTTGTGGAAACGAAAGATACATTTTGATTTAATTTTAAGTGAAGATGTTAACATATAAACATAAAAAATACATTTAATGTTGTTTCACGCATCCATTCTTATTCAGGACTAGAAACATAATATTAACCCAACTATTTATCTTCAGCTTGTAGTAATTGGACTTAAATATAAAAATGTACAAAAAGTACACATGTTAGACTTACAAGAAAAAAAAAGTCTGCTCAAAACACCCCACTTAATATACTTATTATTATTACTCTTGTGCCAGCCTACAACAAAAACAGCTTTGGTATTTTGCATCCAAACCTTTTGTAGAATACTAAATAAGGTACTGCAAAGGTCAAAGGGGTATTGAAAAGTTATTTGTTTCTTCTATATTTACATAAAAAAACATCGTAATTCTGGTGTAAACAATCTTATTACTCTTAAAGTTAGCTTTCTTACAAATATATGGTGATCCTTAAAATAGCTTAAGTACAGAGTGAAACCGGAATTACCAGCAAATAATAGATGAACATTAAATGACTGTAAAAAGGTAGATACTCAAATGCTTTGTACACTATACAATCGGTGTCTTTAGGAAGCCAACCTTAATATTATGTAGGAAGTGAAGGAGTAAAAAAATCAATACACAATATGAAATTTTATTACACACATTCAGAGAATAATTACTTTAAAAGACACAAAGGTTTATTTAAAGCGATGTTCTAGACATGTATGTTATATTTGGAAAAGCTGCTTTTTTACTCTAAAATTTGTTTTCACACTTAGTGGGGGTTGTGTATTAGTCTATTGCTATGCATTATATATAGAGAATTTAGTTACACAGAAACTATAAATGCTCACTATATTCTTAAACAAATCTCCAGCTGTGTCTTCAAATTTTACATCTTAAACTAATGTGATCAAATAATCAATTGCTACAGTAAATCATCATGAACCGTATCTGCTAGCTACCATATCAAGTAATCCTTTACCCATATTTGAGCATAAAAAAAGCCAGCAAACAAGATAAACAAAAAATTGGGAATTTAAAAACTCGAATTTTGTGCAAAGCTACTCAGGGACTGTCTATATGCACTAGCTGTTCCTAAATTAGAAGCAATAGACTAGAGGGTAAGCAGCTAGTCAACACCACCCACTGTCAACTCTTTGTCAGAGCTACTCTTTACCGACATAAAGTAGTATCACTAGTGTTGATATTTCAAAGTGAATTAAACATAAAATTTCTGTTTAATAAATGAAAGTGTTATCTCCACACACACACACACACACACACACACACACATACTTATGAAAGAACATCTAAAATTTATCATTTATAAGCATTTTACCTTGCCCAGTTTGCTTAGAGCTTACTAAAGCATCCAAGTTAACCAAATTTGCATTTGGTCCCAAGAAACTCTCTGGTGTTTTTCTTGCTTGATCCTGTTTTAGATGCTCCTGATTTGGAGAAAGTGAGTCTTTCAACTCATACAGCTCAAAAGGGTTTGGAGATAATGTTCTTTGATCACCTGTAAGAACAGTACGCTCTTCAAAACACAGAAGGACGTAATGTTTTACATTTTACCATAACATTAACGTTCCTTTCAATGTTATGACGAATCAAACACTAAAGTAAACTAACTATTAATTTGGAGCTTAAAGTAGTTTTTATAAAACTTTAAGCTATTTTAAGCTCCAAACTAATACAACCGAATCTCGGTAAACAAATTCAATTTTAGAAAGTTTTCACTTAGATCCATTCACAAGTACATTACACAATGTCAAGGCCAAATGTACAATGAAAGTTAGCAGAGAGAGAGAGGCAGATGAAGTGTTTATGAATATGTAACTTGTAGAATCAAAATTTAAACTAAACCAATCTTTATGATATCATTAAACCTAGAGATTCAAGACTGGGCTAGGAGATGCAGTACTTCAGGAGAGAAAAAACATACCTTACTAAATCAAATTGAATTTAAGGTTAAACCTGGAAAATGTACACTACAAAAAAAATTAACTTTAGTACAATGAGTTTTAGTTTAATTCTGGTTCTGGCATAACACATAATAACTTTATTGCAATACATTCCCAAAAATTAACACATTCAAAATCAACTCTTAGTCTTAATATCTTCAACCTGAATGTTGTGAACTACAAACTACACAGTTTTGTGTTAAAAAAAGCCCAATTTTGGGCCAGAAAAACACCATCATAATGTTGTAAGAAAGCAAAACACTTTACCTACCTTGAACCTTAATTATAAAAATCGAAACTACAGTGCTAGATCAAAAAATAAATACACACACAAACAGGGTTATCATAAGTAGTTGACCTATAATAAAAATTGAAACTACAGTGCTAGATCAAAAAATAAATACACACACACACACAGGGTTATCATAAGTAGTTGACCTATAATAAAAATTGAAACTACAGTGCTAGATCAAAAATAAATACACACACACAGGGTTATCATAGGTAGTTGACCTATAATAAAAATCGAAACTACAGTGCTAGATCAAAAAATAAATACACACACACACAGGGTTATCATAAGTAGTTGACCTACAATAAAAATCGAAACTACAGTACAGTGCTAGATCAAAAAATAAATACACACACACAGGGTTATCATAAGTACTTGACCTATTAGTCAATAATTCAAAAATTAACATACAAGAAAATTGATATTTGATAAAGATGGTGGGAAAAGTGCTTACAGTACCATAAACATTATCACTGACAGGATCATTAAACTTGCTTACCGAGAACTGTACATAGTCAGCATCAAACATGCCCTTAGAAATGGCAACTAACATGTTATCTCTAATTGTTGGAACTGCTCTTTCAAAGCATCAATAAAGTAAAGACATTAGTACTGGTGCAATGTTATGATTCTATTGATGCAAAAACAGTGAACAAAGAGAATCATAAAATAAACAAACATGATTTTGCTCTGAAACAAATTATAACAATGCCCCACAACACATCCACTGAAGTTGTGGCAGGAGTCAGAAAATGGCAGCTGTTTTTGGACAAGGAAATCCTCTAGAGGAATGCAACACCAGCTGATCTTCACGACTTCGTGCAATGGCCATTGCAATGATGAGATGGTACAGTATGGGATTTGGGTGGATTCAGAAGCCAGTTGATCATATGGCCTCATTTCTTTGAAGGACATGTTTGTGACAGTAAATGCATGATGGAAAACACATCAGTCCTTCACTTTAGAGAAGATGGATTGTGTCTTTCATGCTAGTTTGTTTTGAGTTTTGCACAAAGCTCCTTGAGGGCTATCTGCACTAGCCATCCCTAATTTTAAAATGACAGACTAGAAGGAATGCAGCTACTCAACACCACCCACTGCGAACTCTTGGGCTACTCGTTACCAATGGATAGTGAGATTGACTGTCACATTTTAATGCCCCAATGGCAGAAAGGTTGAGCCTGTTAAGGGACAGGATTTGAACTTGTGACCCTCAGATTGCGAGTCAAGTGCCCTAAACGTAAGGCTATGCCAGACCTTTCATGCAAGACAGGGATGTACCAATATTGTATAGATTATCGAGCCATGACTGGCACATACTCACAGGGATAAAGTGATCGGCAGACATTTCCCACATAAACATGGCCGGCACAGTCTACAGACCTCCTTGCAACTTTTTGGCTATGAGACCACCTCAAGCCATTGATTTAGTACGATGTGCCCACCACACTGACCTGAAATATATATCACAGGACACCACGACAAGTGTAACATTTAGAAAGTGGGTACTATCATTTAGTTGCGTATCATGTGCTCTCACGAATACACGTAACAGAAGACATGAATGGTGAGCTCATCATAGTTAACATGCTAGCTGTGCAGATTTTGCAATCGGGTCCAAGACTCTTAACTTAAAGCTTAATACATGTTAATAAATGTTAAATAATGTTTAGCTTATTCAATGTTAGCCACCTGGTTATGCTAGGTAAACCTGGTGAATTGTATTCTAGAAACTTAAAAACAAATGTTAACATTTTTAATAATTTATTTGTAAACAAATGTTTTCAGCTTGGCAAGTTCCTTGTAATTTATTCATTATGACTTAATTGGACATTTTTAAAGTTCTAAAAATATTAAACTTGTAACTTAAGAATATAACAATTTTTAAAAGGCCTAATAAATACCAACAAAGTTTCATTAGCATAAAATTTAGAGCCCACCTGGTGAATTTGCTGAAGCTTGGTTCCTAAAATCCAGGTCATCTAATTCCCCAGAAATTGATTTTGACCTCTGTGGAGGTATTGGTGCAAAAGCATCAAGCGAGTCTACCGTAACAGGCTGGCTACCCCATGGATCAGTAGGTGCAGTTGAGACTAAATGTATCCCACCCCATGGGTCATTAGCTGCAACTGTAAGTTAATTACTTTTTAATTGAAATCAATTTTTTTTTTTCTTTTACAATAACTAATAAAAACTGAAAGTCAATCTACTAAACAGGAACATAAATTAAGCAAGATTCGGAACCCATTAATAATAGAACTGACCAGGCAATACAAATTAAATCATAATAACATGTAATATTCAAATGTATAGCATGTTATTTATCATTAAAATACGAGTGGAAAATAACCTGAAAATATGCTTTAACATGTTAAAATAATAAATATGGTACACAACTGTAAATCGCTACTTAATTATTCAGACCAGGGGGGTGAAATTCTCAAAAAAACATAAAAAAACAGAGGTACTCAGCTGGGTGAAGTGGACCAGTTTTTGAAAAGAAAAAAAAATTGTGTAATCATAAAAAACGACAAAGTAATTTCCTTTCTGATTCGGGCATATAATGCATTAACTACAACTGAAACCCAACCATTCAATACACTAGGCGGTAATTATTTAGCATTATACCATACCTCCACTCGGCAAGCAGTAAAAGTGGTTGTCAGTCTGCTAGTTACTTTATTTAGATAATTTAAACATACACCCTTTTCAGTGCTACAACAGATGTAACTATAAGCCTATTCATCCTCCAACACAAAACACTAGTGCAAAAACACACCTGGGGTATTAGCAGGTGCTGGTGCTTTAATTGTTTCTGTTGGCGAGGAGATGGGAAGGCTCCAGGGATCACTGCTCGTAACAGTCACAGGATGACTAACTGGAGTTCCCCAAGGGTCTGTAGCCTGTAAATGACAAACATAGTTACTAGTATTAACTTCTCTTATTGACAGGCGATTTCTAAGAAGATTAGTATTATTGTAAAACAGGGTGATAAAATTTGTATCACCACTTCGTAGTTACGTTATTGTTACTTAGAGAAACTCAAAGGGTGGAAAAGAAGAAATTTCTCACCACACATGGTTGTCCTGTCCCAGATATTCCCCATGGATCAGCTGTTGTTGGACTACTATAAACTCCACCTTGGCTTTCATTATTCAGGTTCAGTCCTAACAAATCATCCATTGTGGACTGGTTTGAGGTTGTCGTAGGGGACATCTCGGTCTGGCCGTACCGCGCTTCACTCTCCGTGAGAGCCATCTTAAGACGCAGTTCATCATTTTGTCTCATCCTTTCTTCCTGCTCCGCCTCCTCTTTGCTCATTGCTAGGGCTAACTGAAGCTGTAGTTCTTCTTCACCTGACGTCTGGGGTCTTGCACACTCTAGCTCTGATGATGAAACATGTCCTGGGAACTCTACAGTAACCATAAAAACATGATTATAGACAATATAACAACAGTTAAAAGTCAGGTTTTGCACACTCTAGCTCTGACAATGAAACATGTCCAGGGATAAAACATGTTGTAGACAAGGCACCAAGAAAAGATGCTACAAATAAGTTATGGAACCTACATTTAGTGGACTACTTGTCCAAAGAACACTTTCATGTACATGTACACAAATGTTTATGTAAATCTCACAATCTGACAACATCATTGAAATGTGTTAAAGTGTGAAGTTACTTGGCAAACTCATAGGATATAAGAGCTTTTCAAAACTGTTCTGTATACATGCATACAGCTCTGGCAACCACAAACAACAGATCTTACCAAGTTAGGCTTTACGAAACACTTAAATTTTTTTCAATGTGATAGTCCAGGTTTTCCACTTCCTATGTGTGTGTGTGTGTACAATTTTCTTTTTTAATTAGGATGTGTTTAAAATTTACTATTATTGATATACTCCATGAAACTGCCACATTTGTTTGCATGTACATTGTTTATAACAAACAGGACAAGAACCGTGAATCCTCAAGGTTCCAGTCAGAGCATGTTAGCCACGTGACCACACCCAGTCCAATACATGATGAAGCGCTGCTTCCACCAACCTTGTGTATAACTTAGGGGTACATAACACAGCCTGTTTCCACAAAGCTCGTGTATAACTTAGGGGTACATAATATAGCCTGTTTCCATGAACCTAGTGTATAACATAGGGGTACATATTACAGCCTGTTTCCACCAACCTAGTGTATAATTTAGGGGTACATAATACAGCCTGTTTAGGGGTACATTACAAAGGCAGAATCCATCAACCTATTCTTCAGAACTTATGGGCACATTATGAAATCTGCATATAAGACCTTTCTATAGTTATTCTAAGAACCCATGAGTGAAAGTAAAGATGAATATGCTAAAACATTTCAACCACGCTACATCTGCCATATCCAGTGCTGAGAAAGATTAGAGGGAAGGCAGCTAGTCATCACCACCCATCGCCAACTCTTGGGCTACTCTTTCACCAACGAATAGTTGGGTTGACCGTCACATTATAACGCCCCATGGCTGAAATGGCAAGCATGTTTGGTGTGACGGGGATTCGAACACCCACGACCCATAGATTGCGAGTCGAGCGCCCCTAACCACCTCGCCATGCCGGGCCGATATTTGTACAGATTTTCAGGTACAACCATTAGGGTGTCAATCAGATTAAGCAGGTGAATTATAATTACCAGTTTTATTTAATTCATTTACATATCAGATTTTTAGGTAATAATCAATAGCACAGAATTATTTATTATTTTAACACTACTTAATTATCATTCTTTTATTTGAACTTAACTTTACTGTACGTGATGCGTACGTCAACCAAGTGTACAACAACTAAAACGATAATTCATGAGGCTCTGCGTTCATCAATATAATGTACTTTAAGGGTGCATGATAAAACATTGCACTCATCATTTGAACACAGTATACAATATGAAATGCCAGAAAATACCATAACTGAGGGTTTGAAACAGCTTGTTATACATGTTGGGAGTTGACACAATTATTAGAAGTATTATGATAGCTTATCATCATTGACTGTTTTTATAGTAATGTTCTACTTATTACCGAAACAGCCGTCTACAGATCAGTTGGTTCATCGAGAAAGTACGGTATAGTCATTGAAATAAAAAGTGTGAAAAATCCTTTAACTTTCAAGCTTTTGTAGCCCTTTAAATACATACCTCCTGGTGAAGTTGCTCCATCTGGTGAGCCAAATGAATCTCTGTGAGATGAGGTAACGTACTGCAAAATGAATGTAAAGATTAACAAAATTACTTACTTTGTAAATAAAGAATACATCCATTGTTTGTACTTCTATACATTTACCTCTGTTTTAGTTTATTTACAAATTCAGCGTACAGAAAAGAATCTTTTGAAATAAGTCAGAAAATATGATGATGTTGAAACAAGTCATTTATGAACACCAAACCCTTGTTATTCCAGTCATCAATCCAGTTTATTCACAATCTGGATGATTCTTCATGCAGACAAGAATCAAAAACAGGAAATTTAATCAATAATCCATATATTTGTGTCCTGAATCTAAACAGTTATTTCTTATAGCAAACATGCATTTCTTAGAGATGCAGGATTCGGTAATCTGTACGTGATTCCACGAGAGTCAATTAGGGGTCAATCAGAACAGGAAACAAGGTGAATAATTACCGACCCCAAAACACCTATACTCAAAGTCGGTACCAGTTTTTAACAAGTGTTTTGAGAAAGACGTTTCACAGCAGGGATGTAGATAAAAATTACGACAGATATCTAAAGGTCATCGGGACGGCTTATGCTATAACCATGTTGAGTCACAATTCTTCGAAACAAAGACGTAGAAATACTCAGATCATTAAAATGTGATGTAAGTAAACTGATTATTTTCTTGTGTAAACAATTTATTTTGTATTTCATTAGTTACTGGTTGGACAAAATGATTAATGCAAAGATAAGGATATAATGCCAAATTCATCATGTAATCTGTATAAATATTGACGCTAGTGATGCCATATACGATAATAAACCACTAATTATTATTTACACAGTTGAATAATGTTCACCAGTTGTATACATATCCTTATTAGTTTGCACCTTACATTTAACAATCAATAATGCCTGGTATGAAGTGTTCATTGTATTCAAAATAACTAATTTGACTATCTGGAAGAACTACATTTGGATAACGATGTTTCACAGTACTCCTAAAACAAAACAGGTTATATCTCAGTATAGCTAAAACTGTGATAACAAAACAAATAACCATTTATAATGTTTATTTATATCCTTATATCTCTCAGCAGATGAGGCCTCACTACAGTTGAGACAGGGATAACAAGAAACACCATGTACGTTAGATAATAAAAAACACTAACTCATTACATTTGTAATGTGCAAGAAAACACCAGTACTAGTACTATACACTTTTCACATGTACGTTAGATAATAAAAAAAAACTCACTAAAGCTGTAATGGGAAAGACTTGTGTAGTTACAATGGACTCTTTTTTTTTCAACAATACAATTATTGGAGTTAGAACTTACACAAGGTATTCAGTAAATTTTACTGAAACAATGTTGCCACTATAATGGTCTGCCCCAGTGAAGGAAAAGGCTGTGAGGTATAACTAACACTTTGGTAGTGGTGTTATAATTCGTTTTTTTTAATACAACTGTTGTTCATATAACAATCTTTATACAAACCAAAAAACTGGATTTTTTTCGTATGGCTGATATTTAGATTGTGATTACTATTGAAAAAAAGAGTAAAAAAAAATCTGACACTGCTAAAATGCTGCCTGATGAATGTTTGATTGTTCAGAATTACCTTCAAATTCTTGGCTAGAGAACAAACTTTTAACTGCAACCCTGTAACCCACTACAGTCGTAATATGCAAAGGAACACATATCAGTACTATATCTTTTTTAATGTTGTTCTAAGAACCAAAAATAACTTTCTCATCACATTATTAGTAATGTTAATTAAATTTACTGTTATTTAGTACACATGTAATTAAGGTAATGCAAGATACCTTCACTTACCCTATCAGCACCAACAGATCAAGATACCTTCACTTACCCTATCGGCACAAACAGATCAAGATACCTTCACTTACCCTATCGGCACAAACAGATCAAGATACCTTCACTTACCCTATCGGCACAAACAGATCAAGATACCTTCACTTACCCTATCGGCA